ATAATAGGTTATCTAATTTCAATGCACATAAACTCAATATTTGTAAACACGGTACTGTCATAAGAAAATATACCTGTTTTTTTAAATGCAGCTATAATGTTAGAAGGTGATATGGTTTTTTGAAAAGCAAGCTCTACACATGCAGCTACTTGGTAAATTGTAAATATCTTTCTAGAATTGTGGAGCATCCATGAGTTAACTGCTGCTCTATATGCACTTTTAAATGGCCTCATCACACCCACAACCAGAGGCTGTAACTTGTGTGTGGAATGTGGTGGTAATGTCAAAAAAGTTAATTCATACTTCTTTTCTTTATTTAATATTGTTATTGATAAGTGACCTTCGCAGTTGTTGTATGTTAATAACAATGCATTTTCTTTAGTGTTTGATGAAAATCTTATAAAGTGATTCATAACATACAAAAAGATTTTACTGTTCATCCAGCCTTTTTTACATGCGAGTCTAAGAGATCCAGAAGGAGCTCCTGACAACATTTGCTCCTTGAAATGCTCGTGCAAAATTAAGTGCTGGTGGGAGATATTTTCCAGAAGAATTGATTATTATACAAGTTGTAACAAGGATTCCTCTTTCAGCACTTGTAACTTTGCAACTTTGTAACTTTTAACTCCTTTCTTTGCAAGAACCTTAAAGTAAAGTAGTTTTATAAAAAGAAAATCAAACTAATAACAATAGACAATTTATTGAAAATTACCATACTTTTTGTGGGTTCTGCATGGTAACAGTTCTTGTTTCGTCAAGGTTGAAAATCCGTGTTCCGTTTGTAAATGTAAGTGATCTTGCAAGAACTTCTTTTAATTTATCAAAAATTATAGCTACTTATGGGCATTAAATAATGTTTAGGTGTTCTAAGGGACATATCTAAAAGTATTTTTTTAAAATTGTTCATTCATTCGATGACTGCCATTGAGCCCTTGTACCATTTTTGTGGAATATTAATTTTTTTAATAGTTGATATCTCAAAAGCTATACGTCAACGTTCTTTTATTGGAAGGCCATAAAACATTCTTGAGCAAGTCAGAATATATCCCATCATTTCTAACTCTTGCTCAACTGTGAATGTTTTTTTAATATAATAGTTCGGAGTCAATCTAATATTTTCATCAGCCAGCATTTTTTTCCAATAACGACGAAGCGTTGCATTTGGGATGTTGGAAGTTTTTTCTGTATCACTAATACTTTTTCTTTTTGAATTAAAATTAATGCTTCTTTCATATCTTTACTTTTGCTTTTATTTGTCTTCTATACACTCGAGGCAATGTGATACTTGAAATACTTAAAGTCAAACTTGACAATGTTTTTACGCAAAAGACAACACTTTTTTTAACATAAAACTTTCACTAAGTGCAGTTTACTCCTACCCATGAAAAAATGGCTTGTTCCCCCCCAAGCTGTGCAACTAGATTAAAATGTTGAATGTACAAGAATAACATTCAACATTTTAATCCAGTTGCACAGCTTGGTTAATTAAATAAATAATAATTTGTAATAGATACTAAATTGTTTATTAATTATTTTTCTATAACTATCTGATGTCTTGAAATAGCAAATGTGTTTATTAAAGAACTTTTATAAAGTACCGAATATTTACTTTTGCACCGAAAAAGTAGAATATACCGCTTACGCAAACACCCGCACTAAAATACGGTTAAAAATTGGATTGTCTCAACAACAATTTCCCAGTAATTACTTGGTAAAATTTTGGAGCCATTTTCTTGGACTGTTTTAGTTATCGGATCAATGATTCACTCCTACCCGTGGTTCTACCCTACCCATCCTCCCCTATTCTTTATCTTAAAAAACATTTTATAGTGAAGTTTTATAGCTTTATTATGACATTTGTCTAACTATTATTATTATTTTAATTATTAATCTGTTCGTTAATTTGTGTGCTTTAAAATACAATAATTAGAATGGAGAGACACACGACTCTTGACGAAAAGACAATCCTATTTCATTTCCAAAATAAAAAAGTCAACAATTTAATAAAAAGTGCTTCTACAGTGCAGAATATTACAGAACGTTATCAAAATGAAAATAAAAGAAAAGATAAAGTAAAAATACGAATTTGTGACGATTTATTACGAGGGGGAGGGGTCTCGATTTTGTGATGCAATATTTTTTTTTTTTAGAGAAGACGTTCTTTTAATTAAAAGAATATTTGACCAAACCAAAAACCACAGTTGATGTATCTACATGTTGATTGTAAAATTAACTACGCCTAAATCTTACTTTGTCGATGTGTACACTCTGTTTCAGCCTGTTAACTTCATCAACAAAAATTAATCAACAAAAAAACAATCTTTGTGCAATAACTAAAAAAAAACTTTGCGATACCGAAAAACGAACCTGGAACCCTCGGTCTATAAGCCAGAGGCAGAATCCACTCGACACGATATCGTAGCTAGGTAAAAGAAAATTGTATTTATAAATTAATATTTTTGCACGTATAATATGTTTTTTTTTATTATATATATATATATATTTTTTATTTGCATTCACTCCCAACAAGGCTGCAAGCAACCACTATCAAGTTGGGAGTTACTAGGAAAAAAAAGAACAGAGTTATAGAGCAAGGAAACGGTTGACAGAAGACTTGAAAAGTTGAAGGTTGTATGAGTCAGGAAAACATGAAGATGGGAGAGAGTTCCAAAAGATTGAAGTGCGGGGGAAAAAACTAGATGAATAAAAGTTTTTAGAGCATGCAGGGACAGATACAGTAAACGAATGAGACTAAGCTGAATGACAAGTAAAACGAGAATGAATTTTAGTTGATGAAACTGGAGATGATAACTCCTTTGAGCAGTGACCATGATAGTATTTGTAGAAAAGAGAAAGAGATGCAACTTTACGACGATGGGAAAGAGGTTCAAGCTTAGCAGATAGTCCAGGTCCAACAACATTTACAATGCGTTTTTGGACCTTGTCAAGAAGAGAAAATGAATCGTTAGAAGAACCAGCCAAATATGATAACAGTATTCCATACAGGGACGAATAAGAGATTTGTAGAGGTAGAGAATGGAATCAGAAGTAAGAAAATGGCGAGCACGATAAAGAGAAGCAACCTTAGCAGAAGCTAATTTAGCAATCGATTGTATATATGGTTTCCATGAAAGGTGAGTAGTAAGCGATAATCCAAGAAGACGTAAAGAGGAGGATTCAGTAAGAGGATTGCCATTCATTAATATAGGAATGTTGACCATATTACGGTAGTTGTTTGCAGTAAGCAACTGGGTTTTTTTAGAGTTGAAATTCACAAGCCACTGTGAACCCCAATCTATTACTGAAGTGAGATCGGATTCAAGATCAGCTGCTTGTTCTAGGCGATCGAAAAGAGAAGACTTTTTGTCAAGACAAGAGTATAAAGTTGAGTCATCAGCAAAAAGAGCTACTTTAGATGAAAGGTTGTCAGGAAGATCGTTTATGTAGATAAGAAACAAAACAGGGCCCAAGATGGAACCTTGGGGAACCCCAGAAGTTACTGGAAATAAAGAAGAGTGTTGGCCTTCAAGGATGACTTTAATAAACCGGTTAGAAAGAAATGATTTGATAATCTCAAAAACTTTCCCAAAAACACTATATGAAGTAAGCTTATGGAGAAGACCAGCATGCCAAACTTTGTCGAAAGCTTTAGATATGTCGAGAGCAATAGCCCTAGCCTCACCGCCTCCATCTAATGCACGATAAAATCTTTCAGTTACAGCAGTTAGCAAGTCGGCCGTAGAGCAAGAGGATCGAAAACCGTATTGATTGTCTGACAGTAGTTTATTTGACTCAAGATGAGATGTGAGGAGTTTGTTGATCAAAGACTCAAAGACCTTGCTAATAACAGAAAGAAGACTGATCGGACGATAATTGGAGGGGTCAGAATTTTCTCCAGAGTTTTTGAATATTGGAAACAAAGATGCCATTTTCCAACAAGCAGGAAAACAAGACTCAGTCAAACACTTGTTAAATAGTTTAGAGAGAATTGAAGAAAGTTCTGGAGAACAATTCTGCAAGACTGTGACAGGAATGTTGTCTGGACCACAAGCTGTAGACGAGTTTAATTGAGATATGACTTTAGCAACAGAAGCCGGAGTGATTTGAATGTCTAACAATCGATCAACCTGTTTGACTGGAATGGAAGGAAGAGAATGTCCATAAGATTCAAGAGTGGAATTAGAAGAAAAGTTCTTTGCAAATAGTTTTGCCTTTTCCTTGGGAGAGGTAATAAGATCAGTCCCATGAATGAGAGATGGAATGTTAGATCTACCCTTGTTAATAATGCTGTTGAAGATTTTCCAAAAGTCTTTAGAGCCTAACTTCTGTTATAAGATGCGAGATTTAGTGAACTGAGAGTAATGGAGTTTAGCATCAGAAAGCACCTTTTTTACATCGATTTCTTGCAATAATAAATAGCCGTTTGTTCTCAAGAGAGTTGTTCTTTTGAAAAAGATGAAAAAAATGATTACGATTGGATATAGCAGCCGCACAAGAAGGAGAAAACCATGGAGTAGAATGAGGCTTGACTTGAAACCGACGCGAAGGAATAAAAGCTTCCATTCCAGCCTGAATCCAGGAGGTTATGTAGGAGGCGCATTTGTCAGCTGAGAGAGAAAAAACATCAGCCCAAGGACCATCACGAAGAAAATCACGAAAGGAATCCCAGTCAGCTTTAGGGTAGTAGTAGGTGGTGTGATGATAAGGTGAGTCCAAAAATAAAGTACGAGAAGAAAGATTTATAGAGATCATTGCATGGTCAGAACCACCTAAGGGAGAAAAGGGAGAAACTGAACATAAGCTAGGGTCAGAGACAAGACATAAGTCAAGGAGTGAAGGTAATCGATTAGGGTTGTCAGGAAAACGAGTCACAAAGTTAACTATCTGAGTAAGAGATTGAGAAACGCAGAAGTTAAAGGCTTTTTTGTTAAAGTATATTTAATCCAATATACTTTAAATTACAATAAAAATAGTAAAAAAAAATATTTTTAATACACTATACTCAAGCTAGTACATTTATATAAAACACACACATATATATAATAGATGTTTAAAATAAATGCCAGGATATTAGTTTTTGGTCGCTAGTTTTGGTTTGGTTGGTCTAAATAGGTTTTGGTTTTGAATTGTTTTGGTTTTGAATTGTTTTGATACTGTTGTTACTCGTACACAGGTTTGCACTTTAAATCGGACACCATGCTGTCAACTCCTTAAAGATTAATATAAAATAAAATAAGGAAAATATGGAAACTTAACAACATACCTAGTATAAAACCAAAATAAAATGTTACTGATAACACTATAGAAAATGTTTTTGGTAATTCATTATATATAAATTTCTATTCTAAATTTTGTTATTTTAATTATCTCTGATATCGTTTTCTAAAGATAAAGTTAAATGGAACAAGTAAATTATATCTTTATTAAAATGTAAATTAAAAAAAAAAATAAGACTACCTTGACATTATCTGATAACTGAAAGACTCTATACATTTCACATACATCAATACCTATCAGGAGCAAAAAATAAATGATAAATCAAAATAAGATTAAATATGCAGACCAAAAAAAACGCAAGCAACTATATAAAAAAAATTAATTTTACAACTTATTTAAACTTACAGTGTCATACCACTTGTCACATGCTTAAAATAGCTAACTCTAAAATAATAGTGAATGTAGAATTTAGTAAAATAATAGTTAAAAAAAGTGTGATATAAACTTAGTCTTAACTAAACTAAATAAATATGCATGCCAAAAGAAATGCAAGTTAAAATACAATTTTTTTTAATTTACTAATTCAAACTTACAGTGGGATATCACAAGCCACGTGTCTAAAACATCAAATTCTGAAATAATATAAACACGCCAGATATAAACTTATTATTATTATTAATATTATTATTATTATTATTATTATTATTATTATTATTATTACTATTATTATTAATAGTTGAAACTCAACTAAATAAATATGCACGCCAATAGAAATGCAAGTTAAAATATAAATTTTACAATCAATTTAAACTTACAGTATGACAGCTTATACAAGTGTCTAAAATAGCAAATTCTGAAATAATATAAACAAGCCATACACAAACTTAGTTGTAATCAAATTATATAAACATGAACGTCAAAAGAAATGCAAGTTAAAATATAATTTTTTTTAAATTTACCAATTCAAACTTACAGTGGGATACCACATGCCACGTGTCTAAAACAGTAAATTCTAAAATAATACAAACACATCAAATATAAACTTAGATTAAACTCAACTAAATAAATATGCAAGTTACAATATAAATTCTACAACCAATTTAAACCTACAATGTGACACTAAATGCCGTGCCTCTAAAGCAGCAAATTCTAATATAGTATAAATAACTCATTTATAACCTTAGTTGTAACTCAATTAAATAAACATGAATGTTAAAAGAAATAGAAGTTGCAATATAAATTTTTTAATTTTACAACTAGTTTTAACTTACAGTGGGATAGCAAATGCCATGTGTCTAAAACAAAAAAATTCTAAAATAATATAAACACACCAGTATAAACTTAGTTTATGATATTGGATGCCACATGTTTTATTTGGAAATTAATAAAAATTGCAATTTATAAAAGCATATTAACTAGCCATTTAAACTTAGCTGTAACTAAACTAAATAAATATACCTATCAAAGATGTTAACATTTTTAATTTTATAACTGATTTAAACTAATATGGTATGTTAAAATATAAAGTTAAAGAAGACTATAAATAATCCATTTAGTCTATATTATAGAAATAATTTTTTAACTAACCCTTTACTACTAGTAAAGGATTAGTTGAACTTTTATTTCTATAATATAGACTATATGGATTGCATATATTCTTGCATAATTTTCAAGATTTAGACATGTAGTAACTTACGATATATGATATGTATTAACTTACCATATATGTTATTATATATTATTTAGTAATACTAATGGCTTTTAATTTAAAACAAAATAAACCTTATTGTTAAATTTTCTAATAGAAAATTTTTTAGTTATGTTTCAATAATTAAAAAGTGGTATTAAAATAAAACATCTTAAATGTTCACGAAAAAGAATTTTTATTAATAAAACTTAGTAAGTTTTATTAATAAAAATTCTTTTTCGTGAACATTTAAGATGTTTTATTTTAATACCACTTTTTAATTATTGAAACATAACTAAAAAATGGTCATGATCTAATCCATAAAATAAGTTTAAAAAAATTAATCTTGATTAACTTTATCAAGATTGTTTTCTTTAAAGATAACTTTAATAAACTAGATAAACTTTATCAAGATTGTTTTATTTCATAAAGATTATGATAAAATAATTAAACTCACGCATGGTCCATAGCGTGGCATTTAACGCATGGTCCATGGCATGGATCATGTCACGGAAAGGTAGAATAATGCATTCACAAAGTAATGTATTTAAAATAATGCATTCACAAGTTATGCATTAACATAATGCATTCACAAAGTTATTAACAGGAAATAATTGTTTCCTGTAAATAACTTAGTGAATGATGTCTACCATTATGATGTCTATCTTTCCATGCGTTAATTTAATTACATTATCAAGATTTCTTTTTAAACTTTTTTCATGGATTACATCATGACAACTACTTGGCTGAGCCTCATTAAAATTAACTTACCATGCAGCATGGTAAATTAATTTTATTGAAGCACATTAAAGCTAAATTTAGTCATTTAGCTTTAAATCCTTACTTAAGCAGTTGATTTTTATGTATTTTATGTGAAGAATTGTTTTTAAAAGATTTAATGTTGTTAATTAATCTTTAAAACTGAAATTAAAAAGTGAGTTTTTAAATAAAATATTATACATTATTTTCAGAAAGATCGTAGTAAATTGGTTTATAAGGTAACATTTTATTATTATTACAACAATTCTAATTTTCAAAACCAAATAATTATGCAACTCATTGCGTGTGTGTGTGTGTGTGTGTGTGTGTGTGTGTGTGTGTGTGTGTGTGTGTGTGTGTGTGTGTGTTTATATATATATATATATATATATATATATATATATATATATATATATATATATATATATATATATATATATATATATATATATATATATGTATATATACATATATGCATACACATATATATAGACGTATGTGCACATATATATATACACACACACTTGAAAAAAAAAGATTACAAAAAAATATATATTATTTATGTAAAGTGTGTTAGTGTAATTTACATAATCCCTGCTTAATGATCTTAAATAACAGAGCAGTAATAAATTAGTAAATAAACACTAATCTATCTTTTTCTTCTGTAAATTGCGAAGAAAAAGTTAGTAACTATAGTTGGATAAACTAATATTGTATTATGTTGTTAATGGTGTAATATTGTATATCCTATTGTATAAATTGCATGCTGTTAGTTTGTTAACTTTAAGGACAAAGTAGCTCAATAATACATCCAGTCTCAATATAAGATTTTATGTTTGATTAAGCATATCATTAATGTTTATCAGTAAAATGACTCCCAGACAGAATTTAATTATAATATTTTTATAGGGTTTAGTCAGATATAATTAGGTAAATCAAATTAGTTGACATAAACTACCTAACAAAACTTTAGCAAAACTCTAAAAAAATCAATTGAAAAATTGACTTGCACAATGCTGATTCGCACTTTTACCACCTAAAATTTATACCTATTTCATAAATTAAGCAATTTACCTAGTTTTTTTGTGAAACTTAACCTATATCATATTTTTTTAAATTCTTTTATTTGATAAAAAGGTGCAATTGAACCTTTAATGAAAGAATTAAATTTTTTTTAGAATTGCTTTTATGTTATGTTACTCAAATTTTGATGAATAAATTTTCACGACTGTTTACAATAAACAGATTTCACTCTAATTTTATAATATGAATATTTCTACTTTATGTACCTAAACTATCAAAGTAAAAAAGCCAACTCTTATATTGCATAATTGAAAGTAATTTAAAAGTTCTTTATATTTTTGATTAATTTTGAACAAAAGCATTTGCATATGGCCTATTCCACATAAAACCTTTTTATTCTTCAGACTCTGTAAAATAAAATAAGCTAAAAAGTGTTTTGATTCTGGCAAAAAGAGAGCGAACTTATTACCGAAATAAAATTTAACTTACATTTTTCATGGAATCGGCCGTATATTTAGACTGATTTTTATATTTTATTTGTTGAAACATTTTGAATTAAAAAAATGTAAATCTAAACAATGACATGTCTGTATAGGTTATTTGAAACTAAGTATATAGCTGTATATATTGTCATCCATCTTTGTAACTGCAATAAAAAGTTATATAAAATTGAGTTATACAAAGAAGACCTTTTTTCTTGATGTTACTGATTTTAAAATGAACTTAATCAATCATAAAGAGTTGTCCATTGTTTTTAATGTCAGTCCTTACGTTTTTATTTTTATACTTTTATCTTTTTTTAATACCTATATGTTTTGTTTGCTATTTCAATCAATATGTTTTTATTACCTATTTTATCTAAATTGTGTGACCTATAATATGCAGGTAAGCAATTATCTGCACAGTGTAATTATTAAACAATCATTTTTAGCTTGTACTAATAATTTTTTTCCATTTAGAAAATTAAATCTAATGTATAATAGAGTTTATTTGGAATGAGCTATTTTTATTCACAACGTACAAAAAAGCGTAAGATAGCTGTTGTGGTTTCACAAATATTAAATAGTGCATGTTTAAGTATACCTGACTCACATGTATCAACATGTGTTTCTGAAGCAAATAGTATTAATTTGCCAATAAATATGGTACAAATTTCAAGTTCCACTGTTCCAATTAATTATTTGCCATTACTTGATGTGAGTACTTCTAATGATGATCATCTCAATTATCTGCTCGATGACTCTTGTAACACTGAAGAGTTTAATGACTTACCAGAATGGGTTGCTCGAATTAATGATGACAGTGATGAAGAGGATACTGATTACACTGAAGAACTCGATAAAAGTGAAACTTTAAAAGATAAGTTAGTTTCTTGGGCAGTAAAGTATAACATTTCTCAAACAGCATGTACCAATTTGCTTGGTTTTTTGCACAAGTTACATCCTGATTTGCCAAAAGATGCAAGAGCATTACTTAGTACTTGTAGAAATGTTAACGTTAGAAATGTTGCTGGTGGGGAATATTTCTATTTTAGCCTACAGTATTGGCTTTCTATTTTTACGTAAAGATATCCTCTCAATAATAACATAAATCAATTAAATTTGCATATTAATATTGATGGTGTCCCAATTTTTAAAAGCTCAACAAATAGTATGTGGCCTATACTTTGCTCGGTTAAAAACACAGGATGGTGTCTATTTCCGATTGCAATCTATTTTAGCAAAAGCAAACCAACTTCTCTTACTGAATATATGGAAGATTTTGTTTCAGAAATGATTATGTTGGAGAAGACAGGGTTTTAAAAAAGTGGCAAATGTTACTCTATTAAATTAGATGCAATTATTTGTGATGCACCAGCACGGGCCTTTATAAAGTGCAAGCCTAGATCACTATTGGAATACAAACATTGGAAGGCTACAGAACTAAGACTATTTCTCTTATATTCTGGTGTTGTTGTTTTAAAAGGCATTTTGCCTAAAGAATTATATGTAAACTTTCTGTGTCTGTCAGTAGCTATTAGAATACTTATTAGTCCATCCTTACGTAACATCTATGTAGATTATTCACAAGAATTATTAAAATATTTTGTATCTAATTTTTGCATGTTATATGGAAATGACCAGTGTGTGTATAACGTCCATTCATTGATACACTTGCCAGATGATGTTCGAAGATTTGGAGTGCTAGACAATATATCTTCTTTTCCTTTTGAAAGTTATTTAGGAAGGCTTAAGAAATTAATTCGCAGTCCACAGTCTCCAATTACACAAATTGTATGTAGATTGTCAGAGGGCCACCTACAACATTCTGAAACAAATGGCGTTGATTTCAAATCTAAATTTAAAAAAATACACTTCAAAGGTCCAGTTCCATTGCCATTATGCCACCTTTCACAATATAAAAAATATTTTGGTTCTCAGTTTCTTGTTTCTAACGAAAATGGAAACAACTGCTTTGCAATAGACAACAAAGTTTGTTTAGTTAAAAATATTCTTGCTGAAAATGATTCAAATGAATCTGATGCTATTGTTGTTTATGTAGAGTTTGAGCGTAAGGAGCCTTTTTTTACAGATCCACTCGACTCATCTTTACTGTCTGTTTTCTATGTTGAAAAACTTTCATATCTTGTAAAAGTTTATTCTTTGAAAAAAATAAGAACTAAATATTATTTGTTGCCACATAAAAATGGTTTTGTTGTAATCCCTCAAATGCATTTTTACTAAAGTTAATATTGTGTATAAAAACTTGAGTTTTAAATAATAAATAATTTATGTATTAATGTTTGTTATATATTTAGTATTTATTAATAATCATGTTTTTTTGGTATTATTACATTTTCAATGGCATATATATATATATATATATATATATATATATATATATATATATATACATATATATATATATATATATATATATATATATATATATATATATATATATATATATATATATATATATATATATATATATATATATATATCACTTTTTTTTTTTGAAAGTTATGCTTGTCTTTTTTTTATTTTTAAGTTGTTTTTTTTAAAATTCCAACTATTATGAAAAAAATTCTATTTAGAAAGTATTTATTAATAGAAAGTTTACTTTTAAAAACTTTAATTATATAAACATTATAATAAAAAGATACATAATTATTATATTTAAAAGCTTTAAAGCATTTCTTATTTCATATCGTATAAAAAGTATAGTGGGAAATCTTTTTTGTTTTTTTTTGTTTGAAAGTTTACTTTTGTGTAAACAAAAAATAAATAAAAATCCTTAAGTTAAGAACTTTAAATTTACATTTAAAGTTCTTAAAGTAAGTCTTAAAGCTAGTTTATAGTAAAATTAATTGAGTAAAAATATGTTTGCAATTGTTGCATTTGATACCACTTCTGAGACAGACTATGTTCCATTAAAATGGCTTGAGGGAGTGGATGTTAATAATATCCAATTAATGATTACAAATAACACATCAGTAAAGTGCCATTGGCCACCATTCAAAAATCCCAACACTGTTACTAAAGCTAAAAATAACAGTTATGATGCAGAGATGAATTGGCCATTCTACATAGCAAGGGTGCTGGGATTAGCTAGTAAATTTTTTTTGCATATAGGTTATTTTCTTCATTTAATGTATATTTATACATGACTATTTATCAGTTTTTATTTTGAAACAAATTTTTAGACAATCTGAACAATGCTCGTCAAAAAGCCAAAATAGCTGAAGACACATCTAGTTTGGAAAATGCTTTTGAGGAGACAGAAGAAAGTTCAGGAACTTTCAGGAAAAACAAAAAAGACCCTATTTCGAAGGTACCCCTATTTCGAAGGTATGCATTTAATGACTTTTTTGTTTATCTATAAATAAATCAAAACATTTTATTTTAAATGAGCACAATAATTTTACTTTAAAAAACTTGATTATTTAATTTTTGTGTCATTGAGCTGTTAATAATATAATAAAGCAATGATAGTTTTTTTTATGAATATATGCTCAACCTATTTTTTGTTGTATAGTAAATCAATCAATATGTCAGATTATATTTTAAAAAAATGTTATGTTCTTGTCTTTTTTATATTGATGTTTTTAGAGTGACAAAGATCAGTTATGACAGAGAAAGTGAAAATGAGGATTCTGAAAACGATCTATTGCACAGTGTAGAACCAAAGTAATTTTTTTTTTACAAGTTTGGTTTTTTTGTTTTTCCTTAATTATAGATATATTTATAATTATAGACACTAACATTGTTTGAGATTATTTTTGTATTTTAAAAGAAAGAAGATGTTAGCAAATTCAACTCTTGTCATTAAAAAGCCCCAGCAACCCTATTACAAACTCTCATCAAACAGCAAATTCAGAGTTGATCATCAGTTGCAACAGTGAGTTTCATTAATTGTGTGTATACCAAGATTTATTTATATATAATTTAATATAATGTTCTAAATAAATGATATAGAAATTCATAAAGTTGCAAAAATTTGGCTCAAACTTTTCATAATGTAATTTTCATTAAAAAATAATGTTATTACCACCTTTCCAAACCACACAAAGTATATAGCCGTAGATGCATACCATGCAAAGTATGGATCCCTGAATGTTTCAAAAAAATTTGAAAGTATTTGTATTAAAGCTTCAAATTGATTATCTTACTTTTAGTAATGTTTTAAAAATTTTTATGTGTGTGTTAAGTAAATTAAAAAGTAACATGCTGGTGAAAAAATATTTGTATAATTAGTTTTTATTATCAATTTAATTAGTGATGAACATTTTAATGACTTGAATATATGGAATAGCGAACAATTTTCGCCGCCTATTGCTTTAACTCCTGAATGCGCAACATCAGTTCCAATGTTGAGTTCTACTATTGCAGGTAATTCTAAAGTAACAACATAATTTACACTATTTTAAATCTTGACAAACTGCTAAAGTTCAAAAGGTTTAATATGAACCATTCTCTGAATGGGCTAAATACAAATGTTTTAAAAATTCAAAAAAAAAAGGTTTGTTTTGAGTGTTACATTATTAAATCTGCAGTACTGGTTAAAGATAACTGTTTGCATTAATTTTTTTATTTAGCCTCCGGTTTAAGTCAAACTGCTAACCTGCAAACTATATTTAATTTGATAACAACTTTGGTTAGCAATGTTGAGGAGATAAAAAAAACTCTAAAAGTACATACATCACTACTGCATTCTATTAAACACAAAGTGCGAGTGAATGAAGAAGAAATATTTGATTTGCCAGAAGATATAAAATTGCCACTGACATCTATAGCTGAAGTTGACACATTGGAGGAAAAGTTACTTTGCGCAGAGAAAAAAAAATTCTTGTGAGTTTAAAATAGTTTACAAATTTAACTCAAGTTTAGTAAGGATTAATTTTAAAAAGTAACATGGGTGGGTTGAACTCTGATGGTGGGCTAATTATATCATTACTCAATCAGGGGTAATGATATAATAATCAGAAGATTATTATATCATTACCCCTATTTCGAAGGTCTTCACCACATTGGTGGTGAAGACCTTCGAAATTTTATCATGAGAGCGATGCCTGTTCTACTTAATGGCCTTCTTGCTCGCCAATTCAATTTGACAGGGCAAAAAGGAAAGAAATCGTTTAAAGCACTATTGCTTTGCCAAGTTTTTTTTAGTAAGTAATATAAATTTATGCATAACCCTAGTTATTATTGATTACTTTAATTGATTAATTTAATACAGTGTAGTTTCATTGCAATCATAGGTGCTGTGAAACTGAACCCAAACACAAAACAATGCACTATTAAATATATTGAAATTGAATTGTCGAAATGGTTTTCTAACGCTAGAGATCGTGGCACTGATGGTCGTCGATTTGCTATCACGAAAATTACAAAGACGGCTCTCAGTTGAGATTGATGGTCAAAAAAAGCATCTACCGATCTCTTTCAATATGATTTGTATTTTGTTTAATCTTTTTTTTATAAATGAAGAAAAAATTTATCAAAATCGGTAGTATTTTATGTAAGAGTTACTTTTTTTTAATAAAGTCTTCAAAATATCGAGCTGATTTGCGTAATCAATAATTTTATGCCTATTGCGCATTTATGCCTACATCTATTTGTAAATTGCACATGTTCATAAACAATAATAAATATAGAGTTCAATATTTTTTGTTTACGTACAGACATTGTATGATTGAATTGTGTATAAAAGCATTAAAACACGTATTATAAGTAAACCGTATGTGACCAATTAGTGGAAAAGAAATCGGAAACTTACGGGATCTTTATGGGAATCCCAGCGAAATAACAGACAGAGCCCATATGGGAATCGTAAGGGCAAACAAATGGTAAATGTCTGGGAGCCTTATGGGCAGCCCAGCGGCAACCCTTACGGTTCCCATATGGGGCCCGTGGACAACACCCGCTGGGATCCCGTTGGGAAACCCTTATGGGTCCCGTATCCAAACCCATATAAGTCCCTTACGGGACCCATGTACACTGGTTGGCTGGGATAGGTGATGTAATATTCTAAACATGAAATAGTGTGTTTTTTAATTTCATTAAGGCGATGTGATATTCTAACATTTTAAGCACTATCAAGTATGTTGTTTTTTTAATAAAATCATGGGTGATGTGATATTCTAAACATGTAATAGTGTATTTCTAAATTTTATAAATGTGATGTAACCCAGCCAACATTGACATACGGGTACCGTACGGGGCCCATACGGGTTGTCAACTGGATCCCGTATAGGAAGACCAACGGTATCCCGCCGGATCATGACCGCGGTTTCCATATGGGACCCATATGGGTTAGCCCGCTGGGTATCCCGTATGGGTTCCAGTCAAATCCCGTACTTTAATACCGTAAGGGACCCATTTGGGTTTGCAGATGGGACCCATATGGGAAACCCATCGGGAACCCGCCGGATCATGGCCGCGTTTTTCTTCTGGGGCCATATGGGCATGCCCGCCGGGTATCCCGTGAGGGTCCCACGAGGTTTACCCATTGCAAATCTTGCAAAACTACGTTTAAATGTTAAATATTTACAGAAAAAGCAAATTTATTTATAAATTGATTGGTTTATTTCAAAAAAAATAGTAATTAAAATTACACTGTCAAAATTAAGCAAACTTTTAAACGATTCTTTAATCATGTATCAAATGCTTTCACGTTTATCTCGGAAATCGGAAGCTTTTCTATTGTTGTTAAAACGACTTCTTTGAAAACCTCTTTACACAATATCTCGTTTCAATATGAACTGTAAAAAATTAAGTTTAAGTGTTAGTTTTAAATTTTATTGGTAACACATACATTAATTTTAATATGTTATAAAACTCTTACCATTTCTCCCAACTCTCTTAAGATAAAAAATGTAATTTTCACCATCAAAGGTACTTGTAATAGATAAGCACATGCTTAGGATTCATATAATAAATTGATAACATTCCTTTAGTTACTGATAAATAAATTATATAAAATTATTAAATAAATATATATTTTTATTTATATTGTATATAATTTGATATATATTGTATACAGTTAAGGTTATTATGTAGACAATTAAGGTAACCTGCTATTCTCATTTACTGAGTTTTTTTACTCTTTTTTCACAAATCGTACTTTTTTCAAATCCTGTACTCTGAAAGTACTCATTTGTATAATTTTGTACTCATTTATATTTCTAAAACATTTTTTTAATATTATTTCATTTCAATTTTATTAATTAAATATTTAAAATTATTTTGACAGTGATTTGAATTTCATGCGCACATATTGCTTGCCGTTTCCAGCATGTCAGAGGACAGGGCAAACACCAGATACAAGTTTGACAGTGATTTAAATTTTGAACGCACATATGGCTGCCATTTTCAACACAATTGAGAGGCCGTATTATAAACCTGGAGAGATAGATAGATACTACAGACCTCTTTTTCTAACAATGTCAAAATTACATTTGTGAAAAGAGATGGATCCAACATTAGCATATGTAACCCCCAGGCTGATCTTTGATGTGCAGTATGTACGCAATGCTTGACAGTCTTGACACATGCGTAGTATGTACCGCAAAGTTTTTTATCCATTTATTTAATTATAAATAAAATAAAATAAAATAAAAGGATAACAAAAACCTTACTGTACATACTACACGTGCGCTTATGGTTAATTAATCATAAAATCAAAAATTACAAACTTAATTATAATTTACAAATTTATGTTCGGTGTCACTCATATTAAAAACAAGTCAATGGAGCAACACCTTCATAAAATAAACAAAATAAAAAATAATAAGAGAGAAAACTACATTAATGCAAGTAATAAAAAAAGAAGTATAAGGAACAATACTATTTAAAAAGTTGGAACTAACACAAAAATATAAAAGAGTAACACTAAGAGAAATGAAAAAAAAAGAGAGAAAATGAACGGATGAGATAAGATGAGTGAGAAAATATGTAAGATAAAACAAAAACTTAATCACATAAGTTCAGAAGAATAAAGTGACAGAAAAAATTTTTTGCAGAAAAATATAAAAAAACAAATTAAAGGCAAATTTAAATAAAAAAATATATACATACACTACTATATACAATATTAAAGGCTATATTAAAGCCTATAAACTGACCGCTTTGGAAGATTTCAATCCCGGGAAAAAAAAAAAAAATTTAATAGAAGTTAAAAATTTTTATAAAATTTGCTATGAATATATCGAAGAATGGATAATGAACTTAAGAGCATTGAATTGTTTTAAATGGACCCTTATAAATAGTAAAACTTAATAGAAAAAAAGTTTCTTCAGCAGTCGAATTTGTAATAAAGGAAGTAAAAGATATTGTTATTAATGACAATTTTCTTTTTGAAGAAATTGGAAGAGTAAATTTATTTTTAAATGAAGAAAAATTGAAGAAATGGAACAATGAGAAAATAAAACTTGAAAAAAGACGGGTAGAATACTTTTGGCATTTTAGAGTAGAACATTTCCCACATGAAAATTTAAAAGTTTTAACAGAAATTTCTTCATGTTGTCCAGGCACTAATGCTACTGTTGAGAAGGTATTTTCACTAAGGAATGATTATTGGAGCAGTGAGAAGTTGCAACTTTCTGTAAAAACATTATATGCTGTCTTAACAGTCAAATTTAATATGAAATTTAATATGTTTGGATGCAGCTACATTATTAGACAAACATCCTCATCTAGCAAAAAAAATCCACTCTGACAAAAAATATGTTTTAAAAAAAAAATAAAGTTTTTTATCGTTTTATCTTCCCTTTTTTTTACCTATGAAATACTTGCAAAGTATACTCTTTTTGAACAAAAAATAGTTGGTCCCCTTAAGATAATTAAAAATGGAATTAGATTTTTGGGCACCACTTTTTAAACAAATTTCTAAAAACATAATTTTGGTCCCCTAATATTGTAAGTCCTAGGCCTAGGCTCTGATGGCAACATTTATAAATAGCAAACAACTTTTGGCAAATTTTATTTAAAATTTACATGTATGTTTAAATTTTGTCACTATTTTAGATTTTAACTCCATAAATATTTTATAAAAAAATATATTTTATATAAAATATTTATGGAGTAATATTCTCTTTTACTATCAGCTATCAAGATGATTAAACTGACTTGATCAGCTTCAGCATTAATCTAAAGCTAATGAGTTTATAGCTTAAGCTGAAATATCAGCTGCATCCCCTACTTTATAGACAACATAGTTAATATAATGTATATACATTATAATAATAAATGTTGTTTTTTTTATACTCAAATACTTATTTTTTTATTTTATGATACATTAAAATTTTTTTTTTTAAACACATGTTTTTTTATAATATTTAATACTTAGGATATACTGACTTTTGCCGAATATTCTTTAGATAAAAATAATATTTACCTACATTACTCTAATCGAGGTTATAAACAACAGTAATATTTACTCAAGTTATTATATTTGTCCCCCAAAGTTAATGTAGCTCTATTATACACAAGTCTCTCACTAATTCTAATAATAAAAAGTTATTGCCATTATTACTATAATTATATTTACTAACCTATTATTATTAATATTTATCAAAAACACATTCTGGTTGTTGAAGTCACTTTTACTCATATCAATATGCAAATATTGTCAACAGTCAAAGTGCACCATGCAGAAATATTCTTTAACATGCTGCAAAATACAAGATATACATAACATACATATCATATAAGACCTATTGCCTGGAACTTAACATTTTATATTGTTTAACTTACTGTAACTCAAATATAATAAATAACCATATGGTTATAATCTATATAATAACTAACATCTTTTTTTAGTTATTGTTATTTATGTAAAAGTTATTAAGTTAAATTAAAGTTTTATAACTAAAGTTTGAATGCAAAAGTTTATATCAATAAAAATTTTTATCAGTATTATAAACATAAGTATTATATTACAAGTATTTACAAGTATAGGTATTGTAAGTATATTATTATGTATATTATGAAATTATTGATTATATTGCAAGTGTACAATTTTAAATCAAAATCAAAAAATATCAATGATTAAAAAATGAGGTTGATGCATAACAATAAAGCCATATTTTTTCATTTAAGCATCTAATTAAATCTTTATTTATATCTGACGGTGGGTAAACTTTGTTAACATCAGTCATTTTGCTTGCATAAAATATAGAAAAATCAATGGAAAAGAGTGGATCTGTAAAAACGATTTAAAAGCTTTTATTTCCCTAAATATAACCTATCCATTACATTCTATTCGTCTGTTTGCTCTTTTTAAATGTTTCTGACTAAACTAATATTTTGATTAAACTCAAACCATTTATTATCTAATTATATCACTAGCTGCTAGTTTGCACTGTTTGCATTTTTAAAATGATCAAAATATAAAGTTTTGTTTCTGCTAGTGACTAGCAGAAACAAAACTTTATATTTTGATCATTTTAAAAATGCAAACAGTGTCTCAATGGAACATTTACTACATGTTTAATAGTTTCTGGA